CAGTTCCTCCTTGATACTCTGTTGGCGATGACTGATCCCTCTTACTTCTTTCTGAAAACCATGCGATTCCTCCCACTCACTTAACCACATGAACTGTTCTAATTTGCAGATGGAAACTTCGTAAGGCCTTTTACTCAGAAGAAAGTTCAAGAACAAGGGGATGCCTTGAGATATTCCAAGATATCTTCTGCCCCCTGTGGACATGTCTGCTGAAGAACCGAAGACAGAGGTCCAAACAGCACACAGACCAACAGATGGACATCCTTAGCGATGATGAAGAGAGATGTAATAATGAGCCACCCGAGACAAGACCCTTGAACCTTTCCGACCTCCGTGGCACGGAACCTGAGTTAATATCAAACACGACCGTCCACAATTGGGAGAAAAATGCCAGGTCTGACAGAGATTATGACATACTGACAATGTCGCCTAAAGCAATTGAGCGCTTAGACCGAGATCCATCGAAAGTCAATCGGTTTGAAGGTAAGCTGGATCCTAGAGATGTGGAATTAGATGACGCCATGGCCACGTCTGCGGCAGCAATTTCAAGGTATGACGATGCTCTACAAGTGATGCGTCTTTCTACGATTTTGGGATTTGAAATGGGGGCTTCGATGGTCAGTGACATGAAGGCGGTTAAAGAAGAGTCCTGTATCATGAAGGTGAGAATCTTTTCGGGATACTTGATGCTAAAGGTCTAAAAGTAGAGCTATCTTCAATTGTGTCGAAAATAATGCGGGATTTCTTTGCTTGTGCTTTACTTTGCCATGTAACTGGTCTGGAAAACTCGCGCCATCCTCGCTCTCGACCAATCAGAGTGAAATACTGAAACCAAACACAGCTTGGCCACTTGTGATTCCCACGCTTTTTGCATTTTTTCTTTCCTCCGATTGGCTTTCGTGAATCTTTTGGTCCTGGTTTTACGGCACTCGATCGAAAAGCGCTCAAACTTTGGAATGATTGTTGTTGGAATAAAATCCAAATGGAGAGTCAGTATTATAGGGTGATTCTCTCTGGGGAAGTATGAAATCAGTTTGCTACTCTCATTACGCTCCAAGTAAGTGTTTTCTCTTATATGGGGATTCATCAACGTGATCAAAATGATTAGATAACCAAATAATGCAGCACAATTTCTTATTCATTTATGTCTTTTTAACAGCCTATGCCTCTTCTTATAAACTTCCTCCGGGGTCTTCCGTTGATCGCTGTGCCAGCGGTCTATTTCACTAGCGGCGGTGAAAGGTCAATTGAAGTTGGAGTAATTGTATTCTTCGTAATTCACCTGATTTTGGCCTCCATCGGAGCTTTCGCCGACACAGGAGCTGAGATACCAGACTTATGGGAGAAGATAGCCAGGTCAGCATTGTGTCAATTAGTGCACATATCACTGACTGAATGTCTTAATAATGGTAATTGAACTGAGTGGAGTGAGTGGTAATCACATGATTTCGAGTGTAATTTAGAATAAATAAGCACGAGTAATTATTTTAAAGACTAACAAAATTGCACTCGCCCCACGGGCTCGTGCAATTTGTGGTCTTTGAAAAAATTAACAAGTCCTTGTTTATTCCAAATTGCACGAGAAAAATCATGTGATTACGTGTTAATAATATAAATAATAAAATACGAGATAGGTTATCATAAGTAAGCATAAGCAAAGCGCGCGAATCAAGTGCAAAAATAATTTATTCAAACCGGTCAAAAAAACCGCCTACGATTAAAACAATCATATGCAGTGATATCCTCACATCTTTAAGGGGCAAAAAAGTTCAAAGTCAATTGTTCAGTCTGTGTCCGAATCACTCTCGATGAAATAGAATCGTCGTTTCCGAGGTTTAACCATGTTTGTTTTTTCATTTCGGCGTTGGATCGCTCGAGCAAAGTGTTAAGCTGGGTTGGCTCGTAATTTTCGATTTCCTTGGCAATTCCCTTCTCTAAACAACGCTTTTTCCAAACCGACAACCAAAAAGCAGTGCTTTTTTACAATTTTTTCGTTGTTTGAGCTGTTTTTCAGCCGCGGTGGCGAAAGAAAACCTACTTAGAACGTCTGCCATTGTTCCGCTCGCAAATTTTCAAATTTTCAAATTTTGTTGCGACATCCAAGGCTCGCATTTGATTGCTATCTGTGAGTTTCTTTGATTATTGACCAATAAGAATGTCTGGTTTGTTACTTTCTTTGCACTTAATTAACCCTCTTCTACACTGAATTAACTCTCTTCTGCTCTGAATTACCTGAAAACTGCATTTATCTTAATCAATCAGGACTGAATAATTTTTCATGTATATTATTAGGTCTGAAATCATGCGCGTGATTTCAAATCGAACGAGCGCACGTATAATTTCAGATCAAAATTGCGCGATACGGAGTTCAATTTCCGCTTAAGTACAAAACCTTTGGAAATCACAGAATTCAGTCGTTGCAAAACGAGGCACGATAGTAAACACCGCAATAATAGCGAAGTAGAGAAAAAACGAGCGAGGCTTGGGTCGGGTCGCGTAAAGAACTCTGAGAAACCGGCCCAAGCCTCTCTCGGTTTTGCTCCGCCACAACTTTCGCGCCGTTTTCTAGTTCGCTCCATTTTACTAACCGAATGGCAGGAACAGGCCAGAAGAAATTAAATGTTCGAAGGAGTTAATGAGGACCGAAATTGAAATAAGTAAAAGCGTACAAACCACGCGAAGCGTCAGAAAACGTGGGTGAATATGACGCATGTAGTTCAAGCACTTATTACCTTTAGAGAGGATGGTGTGAATCTTCCAGACCATTGACGTATGTTGGTGAAGTAAAACATTTGGTTCGGATTGCTCTCGTCCCACTAAACGTACAACAACAGACACTGAAAAGTCCTGAGAGCAGGGTTGTTCAAAGCACGATTAAGCTAACCGAGGGTTGGCCAACAGTTTTTTATTTTGTTTTGCTGCCTTGCAGGCAGTTTTTTTTCCTTCAGATTTTTCTTGGACTAAGGTGAAACCGATCAAAACGTAAGCCGTAATAAATACGCTTTCAAGGACACGTTAAACTTTTAATCCTGGATTATCGCCAACCGCTTTTCGAACAACTGTGCATAGCTTTTGAACCGAACCGTTGATCCCAAGCTAAACTCATACAAAACATTGTCTTCTTCATCCTTTCGATCCCAAGATTTAAAAGTTAAATCTCAACAAATGACTACCCGACGCTATTCTGGTGAATTTGGTGTTTGGCGCTATGAATATAGCTCCTAGTAAATAACTTTCTTTCGTTCTTGTAACTTATTGCCCCCGGGCGAAGTCAGGATTTTTCAAAGGGGACTCGTGCTGTGTTTAGCAAAGAGTACTCACTCAACGTCGTGTCTAATTATGGTGTCAAAAAATTCTTGCAAAGAAAGGATGTTGCTGCCTGGTAGTATATTGAAATTGTCGCATGCCACAAGGCACAGGTTCGCTAATGACATTACCCACAGTTTGAAAAACACACCTTGTAACCCAGATCGTCATTCCTGATCTATTGCGTCTTTTTTCAAAGGTGGTTTATTGTACACGTGTCTTTCGTGGAGTTTGTCAGAGAAACCCTTTCCGTTGAGAACATCGGATCCATGCCCCCTCCTGTGATGCTACTCAGCGACGGAGGCCACATGGAAAATACCGGGATTCTACCATTATTAAAGAAAAAACTCAAGAAAATTGTTGTAGTGAATGGTGGTTACACCTCTGATGAGAAGAGGTATGGAGATGACCTTCTGAAAGCACTGATGCTCGCTCGTACCGAGCTAAACTGTTCGTTTATTGGCCAGGGAGGTCGTGACGTCATTTCAGACCTGTTAGACACCTTCGTAAAACCAAATAAACCGAATAAAAGGAAACCAAGATATTACAGGTATGTATTTTCTCATGCACCAATTTTTTTTACCTTCGATAGTAAGAAATTGTCTACATGGGGAATGTGTCCATAACTAACAGAAAAAAAACTAACATCCTGGAAGAGAAGAGTTGCGTCAGGTAGAAGAATTTTTCATCATAGTAAGAAATTCAAAATACATTGAAATCCTTGTATCTCGATCCTTCTCCTACTCCTCTTCTTTTAGGGACCAATCAGTTGATGTGGGCTCGAGATATTCAGGGTATATCAGTGGTATACACTGTTTCAAGTCTAATGTAAGGGAAGATATGGCCTCAAGTTTGTGATGGCAAGACTCCACCGTTGTCAATAGCAGTCTAGCGGCTCGTTCTTCATAGCTTGAAAGGCATTAAAAGGCATTGAAAGGCATTGGGCCACGAGCATTTGTTCAGTAATCAATTCAATTAGAGCTTCATTAGTTGCTGATAACTTACTTTATCCTCGTGGCCTAAATGTTTGATTCAGGAGTGATCTTGTAAGGTTGAAATTAGGTGCTAGTCACTCTCAGAGGTTAATCCATAGAGTTCCTTTGATTCAATGGAGGTTGTATGAGCTCTTCAAATTGACTAAAAGCATTCATTCTTTTCCGCTTAGATTTAAAGTTGAGTACTACAAAGATGACGGTGGCAAAGTTAGTGACGGTGAAATTATGATGATAAGGCCACGAGGTCCATGCAAAGGTGATCAAAGCGAGGTGAAAACCTGGGAAGAATTTGGTTTTAATCTGGAGCCGAATGACTGGGGAAATAGTCCGTATTTGAC